ATAGCGGTCATTAAAAGTCCATCATAGAAAGGATTTGCTACTGGTGTTATTTTTTTTAAATTATTACATAAGTATTTTCAATATTGTATTAATTATATTATTTATATTATTAATATAATTAATTATATTATCTCATCTAAATGTACTACATCATTTAATTTCAGAAAAAGAGTTTTGCCCGCAAATTAAATTATATCTTTTTTTTAATCCCGAGACAAACACACACACTCCATAGCGATTGGTATGAAATGATGTCATGAACAATAAAGGAGCGCAGGTGGTAAGCGGGCAAACGAAGCGTTTACTAATTGCAAAATCTCTTTTATTTTCAGATTTCATTTTGAGAGCATTGACAGCTCTAGTCTCGCTCGTTGTTAATTTATGCGTTAACTTCCAATAACTGTGAATGTGGATTACGGGATTGACAGATAGTAAGCAGTAGTGTAAAGTAACAACCGATAAATGTCCCACTGCTGGGCAAAGGCCTCCTTTGGCCAGAGGGTATTAGTCCATAGTCCACCACGTGACCCCACTGCGATTGGCTTCTCATATCTTTTTCATATTCTCATTTGTTTCTCATATCTACTAAATATTTCTTTTGTAATTATTACGAAAATATGCAGGTTTCCTCACGATGTTTTCCTTCTTGAATTCTTTCAGTCACCACTTAGATGTAGCGTTTCATTGATGTCGGCACCAGGAATCGAACTCAGGTTGCTCGAATACAAAGCGAGCGCCCGGACAATAAGCTATCACGGCTACAAATAATCGTATGTTGTAGCTTATAATCATTCATTTTTTATGTAAAATTGACGATACTGAAAATGCTTATGCTGCTTTGCAAAATGTAAATTAGGGCCTGAACGTCTTGCTTCACCAAATCCTCTGTGCAGAACAAGTTCCATCCAGTCTTTATAGCTTATTATAATTATTAACAACGATAACCTTGAAGATATCACAATTTTTTTTTGAGAGGCCAAATTTCTAAACCATAAAACTTGACAGAGTTAATAGTAACCTATCCAGTAGCAAAACTTGTAGATTTCAATTAATTGTTTTTCGTCGTACGGCAGTAGTGTACAGTTCAAAATTCAGTATTGTATTGTTGTGATCAGTAACTAGTAGGCAATGTTATTGTGAAATACCAATTTGGCCAATGTGTATAAATGTGTGTAAAATCTGTATATTAATACATAAAGCAAAAGCTTTGTAACCATTTTTACGAAAACTGCGCGAAACTAATTTTCCTTATAGTTTACTAGCTGCTGCCCGTGACTACGTCTGCGTAGAATAGGCTGAAGGCGTAACATTCAGACGGAAAAAAATGTATATAAATTATAGCCTATGTCTTATTCTGATGTATAAGCTATATTATTGTAAAGTTTCATTAAAATCCATTCAGTAGTATTTGCGTGAAAGAGTAACAAACATCCATCCATACATCCAAACTTTCGCGTTTATAATATTAGTAAGGATTAGTAAGGAAAGGATAAAGAGAAGAAGTGCAGAAAAAACATTACACACACTACCATATATAATTATGATAACTATGATCGAGTTTCGAACACTGCGCGGCCATTAGTAAGAAAGCAATTTGAAAATCTACTGTTATTCCGTGTCAAAAACAAAAGATTGAACAATAGCGTGACGGCCCGAGCCGAGGTTCCCTCGGGAGCCCTCGAGCTTAATCAGCATAACGCGTAATAATAATATGCGAGGTTCAGGCCAGGCGCCTCGAGCGCCCGGCCACCTCAAGTCAGTCGGATCTGTAAAGGCCCCTAAGGCCAAAAGTGGTTCATCCAGCCAAAAAAAAAAGATTGAACTTTAAATATGCAGTGCTTGCTTGTTAGTCACATAGATTATTAATTTGAGTATTGAGTATAAACGCCCGTTGTTCTAGTGGCCAGCGCTGGGCCTATAAAACTGCGTGGTGGAGGTTCGTTCCCCGTAGTCGACATCAAGTTTTAATTTATTTTTCTTTATTTACATGCTATTGTGTGTTACGTGCTGTTGTGAGAATATCAAGGGTTAAAAAAACTTTAAGATTTCTCTCTACCCTCAAAACAAATATTATAAGAGAAATATTAACTAGACTAAAAACTAATTTTAAACTATTTCAAAATCTCACAGAACGGCAGGCGATTCAACATCTGCGAGCTCCTCGTAGCCCGTTGTCGATACTACTGTTTTAATTTATTCTTCTTTACGTGCTATTTTGTATATTTTAAGAGTTAAAAAGAACGTAAAGATTTTTTTCTTGAAAAATAATATTAAAAGAGAAATATCGGTAAGAAAATAAATAATAATTTTACAAATTATAAAATCTCACAGAAGGTACTTAAAAGTGAGCTATAAAAGGCTCTCTGAGATATCTTTCAAGAAACTATAAAAATCTCACAGAAGGTACTTAAAGTGAGCTTTAAAAGGCTCTCTGAGATATCTTTCAAGGAACTAAATAATACACAAAAAGCTTCCTGGGAATGTCTGCTTCCCTGTCTGTATGAGCGAGACACCAAACCTTTCTGATAACACGAGCACTCCAGTGCGGCAGGCTGATACAATGAAACTAATACTGATTGAGCCTGCGATTCAATCTTTGCGAATTCCAAAAATGTAACATTGCCTGATAGGAACAATAGTGAAACTAGAGCATGTGAATCTGGGAACCTTGTTACTCTGGAATCTATCAGAGATAATATAGTCGTAGGGGAGACAAAGATCTCAATAAATTATGTTTTCAAAAATCAATTGAACTCATTAAAAAAAGACATTGAAGAGAAGAATCAAAGGTCCAATACCAATACCAATTGACATGAAACCACATGGCAATTGAATCAAATCCAAAAACAATTTTTGATAAAGGATCATAAACGACGGAGTTCTGGGGTAACAAACATAAAACAAATATGACCAATATGAAAAAATCCTTCGTTATTGTATAAGGTCGAAAAATACACGAGTTTTGTTGACTAATTGTCTCTCTGTTTATTTTACATGTATAATAGATTAAGCGGGAGCAATGACAGTGAAATTGGAAAAACAAATTGTTCGTTTCGTCCCAAGGGGCCAAGTTTGCTAACGGCTAACGGGTCGCTTTGTAAAAGGAATTTTAATTTGAATTTATAATTTCTAAATGCATAATTTGGTCTTTGAAACGAAACATAATGCGTACAATTTGATTGTTAATGTTGCAGGTCAAAGAATCTTCAATAAAATAAATAAAGTTTCTAAATGCTGAAATATTTTACACCTTACTAACTCTTCTAGAGAATTTAGTAATAAATAAATAAGAAAAACCGACGGATTTTATTATTTAAATATCCAGTCGGACATTTAAATAATAAAGCAGGTGCTTTATTTATGAGCAGAAATAAATTGGACTTTATTAGAAATTAATGTTTTATACAGAAGTTAATTGAATATATTGAAAATAAGATCATAACTCTAATGAAATGAAGACAGCTAGAGCTATACACGCTAAACTTATTAGCTTCCATATGTATCAACATTGAAATAAATGAAAAATCAGTTGGAACAAGCCTGATTAATGTATATTTCCAACTGACTTCAAAAAAAGAACAGGTTCTCCATTTGGTTGCTTGCTTATTATCTGAAAACAAAATTAATATGACAATTGCCAACAAGAGTCTTATTCAAAGTTTTAGGAGATGATTTATGGTCTGATTGGCATTAAAATCTTGTGCACCCTTAACCACACACGCACTATATATTTAATAACTAAGCAGTAAAAGAAAATTAAATAAAAACAGGAACAATCTTATTAATGTTACTATTATAATATACCCTTTAGTTCATTTAATTTTCATATAACATGAGCCGCAGGGTGAAACACGTTACATACCTGAGTGAGCGTTCGTTTCAGAGCGAAATGGATTTGCGGCCTCCGATACGGATTTGTGTTAAGACCTTGTAGTTAAGGAATGTATAAAATATTGAGGCTCCAGTATTTCCCGATACGGCGACATTGCGTTATTGCTTTCTAGTTATTTCCCGCACGCTCGTCGATTCGGTTGTTTTCAAATTGTCCCAAATAAAGATGCTGATTTTACACGGACGAAAGTACCTCATGTGTCCGACAATATTACACTTATTAAAAACATTGCCCTTACTTTAGGATAACGTTATCCTATGTTGTAAGGACGTTTCTACTAACATAAATTTCACGAGGAAAAACACCCAGATGCAAAACAAATATGTGTGGGTCACACAAATATATGCACTTTTGAAATTTTTTATGCCTTCAGGTCGATTCGAGAATTATTTAGATTCACAATTCGGTCCACTATAATTTCTTTTTTAATTTATAAGTTGTTGTTGCATCTAAGTCGTGTGTACAAGACAACGTCTTACTGGTCTGCTAGTTTAAGTACAAAATATAAAAAAATTAGTTTATCTATATTAAACGATTTCGTTAATATTTTAAAACTTCTTGTTTATTTTTATGTAGTTATTATTGTTTTAAATGTTATTTACATAATTATTACCAAGCATTGTTTCACCTACTTTCCTACTTGTTTCGCTTATTGTATACCTAGTAGTATTTTTTATGTGAGAAATTAACAAACAGGCTGGCAAGCCTGTGTTAAATGATAGCCGCCGCCCATGGACATTTGCAACAGCCATAGGGTTGCAAATGCGTTGCCACTTTAAATAAAGTGGGACTCGGCTACCTCACTCAATAGACGAAACGCAGAAGTGTAACACATCTACTTTACGCCGGTCTTCTGTGAAGTCGTGGTACTTACCCGGACGGACCTGCCCATTTGTGCAACAGTGAACAAAAAATATATGCAGCGTATATACATTTAATCAAGGCAAGTTCATTTTTTTGTCTATTTAAAAAATGAAACAAATAATCCTATAATTCATTGTAGTTAGTACCTTGCGTTGTAACGTCAATGGTTGTCATGGTGACGATTGCCACAACAAAGTGAGTCCTTAGCCACGGCTCGAATTTAAAAAAGGAAAATTGTTTAAGGATGTCGAAGAATAAAATTGGTCCTATTTGGCAAGATAGAGAGGTGCTCTTCGATTTACCATTCACGTAAGCTAACTTTTTAAAATTAAATTAAATATGTATATTGTCTGGGACGTGTGATATCAGTTTTTGTTTTCATTAAACAAAAGCTGCCAATAATGGCTGGTTAACGTAAAACTTGATGTAGTAAATTTTTTGAATAAAAGTTAAGTTTCTTTAATTAAATTTACTATATATAATGTTTGCACATCATACCGAGTACAATCATATAAGAGATCTGTCCCTTCATTGTATAAATGTTTCCTTTCTTTATAATTATATTTGTGTTTGTTATTTTTTCTGAAGGTATTTGAAACTTCACTCCGGGGAAAAAATCTTCGATAGGATCGAGCCGATAGAAGACACAAAAGGGAACAGTGGTGCCAAGGGACGTATGGTGGTAACGAATTTACGAATCATATGGCACTCGATGAGCTCCCCGAGGATTAATCTGTGCAAGTTACACTTAGTTTACTAGTTTTACCAAAAAAAAAAGGTTTGATTTGCGTCGTTAATAGCTCAGTCCTCGGGTGCTCGATTGTACGCAACTTAAGCTACCAGAGGTTTAATACCAGTTCAAGTAGAAATCAATGGTTAGTTGCAATTTTCAGTGCCAATTAATCACATGCTCTTCAGTGGAGGATTATACCGCCAGGAGCCTGCATGTGTAGGTAGGACCACGCAAGAGCGTCGATTGTTGCACGAATGGGCAGGCTCGTCCGGGTAAGTGCCACGACCTCGCAGAAGACCGGCGTGAAGTGAAAGTATAATAAATACTTTCACGTTTCGTCTGGTGTTCAAGGAAGCCGGAGCCCTATTTTCAAAAGGCTGTCAACGCATCTGCAAGCCTCGGGTGTAGCAGATGACCATGGGTGGCGGGATTCACTTATTGTCGGGTGAACCACCTGCCCGCTTGGCAACTTTTCACATAAAAAAGAAAGATTTGTAAAGTCTGCCGATCTGCGGTGGGGTTACATGGTGGACAAATATATTCTGTACAGAGGAAACCATTGTCCAGCATTAGGATGCTGTTAATATTTAAAAAAATAGCAGTCTGTAAGTGCCAGCATGCATATATAATTTATCTTATTACTCTCTGTATATTTATGTAAATTACCTCTGATTGGTGTTCTTATTTCCTCTTGTGACAAGTAATAGGAATACTCGGAATTAAACTGATTGACCTACATTTTATACATTCAATCTTATTCAAATTAGGTTCGAAAGTGCGATATGCTCTTATGACAGTTCTGGAGATAATGATTTGAACATCGCATTTCCAAGGCCAAAAGTCTTATAAACTCCATACCCTTTTCAGCAATCGGCCTAAACTGCGTGATATCCACAAGCACCAAGGTCGTAAACTCCGGACTCCGAGGTACCACTCAGGCATTGTACGTTCTTGCCGCCTTCAAGAACAACAAGTATGAATTTGTTTTCACCAACCTGTCTCCGAACTGCGTACGCCACTACACCTCGGTTGTTGGGGTTCACAAGCAAGTGACCATTATCATCTCTTATATGCCATTCGTCTCAATCAACTTTTAACTTACTACTTGGAGTGTACATCTACGCATACGGACCACTAGTACCAGTGATATTCTTCTGTAAGCCGCGCTAATGCCTGTTTTATTATCTGCGCTGCTAAATTTTCAATTTACATATCTTTAGGTGTCTCTTAGCTTGGACTTTAGATGTTTGATTTTGATTCGGTATACTCTAGAGTCCTGATAGCTCAGTGTCCGGGCGCTCGCCTTTAATTCAATTTACTCGAGCAACCCGAGTTCGATCCCCGGGCCAGCACCAATAAAATTGTTAATTTTAAATGCTGACTTATCACGTGCTCGGCGGTGAAGGAAAACATCGTTATTATTTCGAAAATATGCATATTTTCGAAATAATAACAAAAAAAGTATTTCGAAAATTTGTGAAGTCCGCCAATTCGCAGTGGGGCCGCGTGGTGGACAATGCTGTGATTCCCTTTGTACAGGGAGGCCTTTGCCCAGCAGTGGGACATTTATAGGCTGTTACTTTACTTGACTTTACTTTACTCTAGCCACCTAAGTTCACATTTCATTGACAACACTAACACTTTGGCTGCAAATCTACTCAGCGGTAAAGGAAAAAAAATTGCGGGACGTGTAATATCCAAGAATTTTTCTTGAAATATATTATGTTTAAGTCAATTAAGTTTCACAAACCTTGAGACAAGTTAATGGACTGTGTTTATACCACCGATTAGAAAAGGCCTTACTTTTTTTACAGAATGTTACTTTACTATAGTTCAATTCTATTCAGGGCGTACGCGGGTTCCAGACTGTACCGTGACCTGAAACTTCGGAGCGCCATTATACAAAATAAGCAGCTGAAGATGTTGCCTTTAGAAAAGGTAATTTCATACAAATGTATAGGAGGTATATTCATTATCTAAACGTTAAATGAGGATCAATTTAAAAATAAACATGATTAAGCATCAGAAAGGAATAAATACTGTTTAAAAATATTGTTTAATAAAACTTTACCTAACATAACCAGTTTTCTCTTTTCAAAAAGATTTGCGCAAATCATGCAGACCAGAAATATTCCTTTGTTGTATGTCTATATAAATGTTCTGTACCTGTGACTATTACAAGTATATAATAAGACTTGCTTCTGATTGTTGCTAGACCTCAAATCGTATATTCAAATCGCAATATTTGTCTCCGCTATGGTTCATTTTCGTCTTATATACTGTGGCAAAGTAACGCATAGCTTTACTTACTTTTGAACAAATGACAATGAAGCGTGACTTGAGAAACATGCCTCGCAGAAGATGCAATGTACAGTTTAAGTATTCTACTGCGTTTCGTCCGATATAACTGGAACCACGTCATCAGCTCAAAGTTATCAACATATCCGTATGCCCTCTGGTGTTAAAGATATCCCAACAAAATCTCTTACCCATAACATGAATTGATTAGTGATTGCAATTTTCTTGAATTGAATGTTTCACAAATTTCAGATTTGTATTCACGAGCACGGTGTATGGAACCTGTCCAGCGAGTCTGGCAACCTTGGCAGCCTGCTGGCGAGCAACGTGCGCCTCGTTTGGTACGCGGACATCAACGAGGCCTTCAACATATCCATGCCTTACATCACCATTGAGAGTGTAAGTCTTTTTTATGTGAGAAATTGGCAAACGAGCTAAACCGCTAGCTCGTCGCGCCCGAGGTTAAGACGTGATAAGCGCCACCCATTGACATTTACAACACCCGTAGGATTACATATGTGTTGCCACTTTTTAATAAAGTGGGCCCCGGCTACCTCACTAGCACCTCTCACCCCGTAGTTGCTCACCCTCACCTCGTAGTTGCTCTCAATGTACTTATTAACCTAAATTGTACTACACCGATTTGTCGGTCAGTGTCAATCGTCAGGTTTTTTAACTCCAACGGGGCTCAGTGGTAGCATACGCTATTTTCAGTCAGTGCTTTTTAGAATCACCTCACAACTTTAATAGCTGTATTAATTACAGCTAATGTAGATTGAAGAACTAAGTCACTTTGATGCGCGATTAAAAAAGTACTTGAACGGTTTTTGAAACTCAACTTGGTAAACACGAGTAAACTGGTATAATTATTCATTTTCTTTCTTAGATTACGATAAGAAACTCGAAGTTCGGTGATGCCCTGGTGATCGTAATTCACGCTTCTTGCGGTGGTTACGTGCTCGGCTTCAGGGCAGATCCCCGCGAGAGGCTGCAGCCATTGCTCGCTGAGCTCCAGACCCTGCATCAAGCATACACCGAAAAACCCATATTCGGCGTTGAGATGAACTGGGACACCGAGGTATGACTTATGTATAATCCATTTAAATTTATTCTACCCGCCAATAAATCATCAAAGTTATTAAGTAGATATTAAGCCCAGATTGCAGCATGCCGCTGCTTGAGGCTTGAGCATGCAATTGATATAAAGCCCAATATAAGAAGTGTATAGTAACACGCGAGTGTATGGTATCATCAGAGTACACACAGACAGCCAGGCTATATTTCTAAAAATAGGTTTCTAAAGCAAAATGTAATAATAACATGTTTAAAAAAAATAGATAGGAGAAAACAAAATAAAATTGTTACCTTTTTGGTAAAAATGTATTTCGTTTTCTTTATTCGTCTTTCATTTGAAAAGAAACTTCTCGAAAAAATATTTAAGAAACAGTGTACTACTCGTATATTCGCTAATACTGTACTGTCGCTGTCTCTTTGAGTATTTCTTTTTCTAGTTCTTTGTTGCGCTGAAGATTTTCCCGTCGGGGAATTAAATCTCACATTACAAAGAAATATTTTTAAATAGCAAGTCAAACGTTCCGAAGACCTTTGTAATTTTAAGAAAAAATCTAATCAAGTGCCCTGCGTATTGAAGTTTTCCACCTTAGGTCTCATTGTAATTTTCAACAAAATTTTTTATTTTAATTAATAATGTAGTCGTAATCATATAAGGTAAATATTTAAGGCTCCAAACTCTACATGTGACGAAATAGAAGAGATGGAAGAAATCGGCGAACCGCGCGGGGAGATGGGTCCCCATCTCTACTTGGCATCGCAACTGGCGCAGAACAAAGAAGATTCAGCTCCCGTCCAGCCAGTTTACAGTCCTTACCTAGGACTGGCTATTGAGCCATTGAAAGAGGGGTTCACGCTTAAGAACCTGTTCGAAGTGCAGACCACTTAAATCACAGTACTGAGTTTTTAAACTTATTAAATTTGTAAATCCAAATCGACATGAGATTTGGCTTATTAGGAATGTGATGATTCTGAATTTAATAAATAAATGTTGTTTTAATCTTGACTTAGGTACTTTAACTTTTCTCGTGTTCGCCACACACAAGTGTGTATGTAAAATATGTAATGTGTTTCATATTTTTTTCATTGTACTATATAATATAGTTTGCGGTTTAAATGTTCAACTGCAAATTTTTGGCAAGTTCTATTGATGACATAAGATTACTGTGTCAGTCTGCAGACCTTTTAGCACTACAAGAAACATGCCTACTTCCGGATGATATCGCTTCACTTGGTCAAATCGATCAAAATTTTGATTACTGCGGCAAGTCAGCTGTGGATACATCGAAGGAAATCCTTCGTGGGCGGCCTTATGGTGGGGTTGCTATCCTGTGGCGGAAAAATATATTTCAAGCGGTTGCTGTGATCCCATGTGCAAGTGATAGGATATGTGCGGTGAAAATCAGCGTGGCGGAGTGCTCCTTTCTTGTGTTCTCAATATACATGCCATATGATAAACCATCACACTTAGATGAGTTTACGCATTGTTTAAGTGAAATCAATGCTGTTATTGAAAGTTGTGATGTTGAATATAGTTACATACTCGGGGACTTCAATGCTGCTCCGCGTAAACCGTTCGGTGATGAATTAAACAGTTTTTGTTTAGAACAAGACTGGAACTGTGTAGATATTGAAATGCTTGGGTTGAACTCTGGTTCTTTTACATATGTAAGTGATAGTCATGGTACCTGTAGTTGGCTGGATCATTGTCTTGTAACACAAGCAGCCCGACATACTGTAGCTAGTGTCGCTATTATGTACAATGTTTTTTGGTCTGACCATTTGCCACTTGTGGTGCAGTGCAATCTCAATGTGATGCGATCAAAGGTATTGTACTGCAGTAATGTGAGAAATGCTATTGTATGGGAGAACGGAATATTTTCCAGACTTCACAGTATACTAATTATTGTAATGAAAAGTTAAAACATATTGATTTTCCATCTAATTTTGTATGGTGTGCTGATAAATTTTGTAATAACATTAATCATAGAAAAGACTTGATAATATTGTATAATAAGGTTATAGAAGTGTTAGTTGAGGCCTCTATACATAGCTGTAATCAGAAAACAAGTAATAAAAATAAAAATAAAAATATTTTGTGGTTGGAATAAACATGTGAAAACTGCTCATAGTGAGGCTCGTATATGGTTTCGTAATTGGATTGCTTATGATAGACCAACTTGTGGTTATATGTTTAATAAAATGAGAGAAACTAGAAGTACCTTTAAAGCCAAACTGAAATGGTGTAAAGCTAACCAAAAACAAATAAAAATGAATATTTTATGTGAGCAACATTCTAATAAAAATTTCTCAGATTTTTGGAAACATACAAAAAGGCTAAATCCAAAGGCAGCCTTGCCATCCAGTATTGAGGGATTGAATGAACCACAGCAGATAGCTCAAATGTTTAAAGAACACTTTTTGGTAAATCCACCCTTATGTCCAGATTTAGTAGATAAAAGTAGCACGACATATTATAATAGTAATGATTGTAATGAAAAACCTATTTTGGTTACTGCATCAGAAATAAGATCTATTATTAAGAACATGAGTCATGGTAGGTCTCCAGGTCACGACTGGTTGAGTATAGAACACCTTCAGTATGCCGGGGTGCATTTACCTAGAATTTTGGCTATGTTTTTCTCGCTATGTCTGAATCATGGATACTTACCAGACGAAATGTTAAAAACAGTGGTTGTACCAATTGTCAAAAATAAAACAGGTAATATTAGTGACAAATCCAACTATAGACCAATATCTTTGGCTACTATTGTCGCTAAGGTATTGGACAGACTGCTTGAGCAACGGCTGAGTGCACATATAAAATTGCATGATGCACAGTTTGGTTTTAGACCAAATCTATCAACTGAAACGGCTGTGTTGTGTCTCAAGCAGACTGTCCGATATTATACTGATAGAGGTACACCGATATATGCTGTGTTTTTGGATCTGTCAAAGGCCTTTGATTTAGTTAATTATAATGTGTTGTGGAAAAAGCTGTGTGAAGATACTACTCTACCTTATCAGTATATCTTGTTATCAAAGTCAAAGTATTGGTATTCCAATCAGCAGAACCAAGTCAAATGGGCAGGAGAGCTTTCGAGTATGTACAGGTTGGAGAGCGGGGTGAGGCAAGGGGGGATTAGCTCACCAATGCTCTTCAATCTCTATGTGAATAAGCTGATGGAGGAGCTCAGCAGCGCCGGCGTTGGATGCTCTATCGACGGTACTTTTGTCAACAGTATAGCCTATGCGGATGATATTGTGCTGCTGTGCCCTTCTATCAGTGCACTCAATAAGCTGCTTGGCATCTGTGAGCGATACGCGGTGTCGCATGGTCTTAGATTTAATACTGCTAAGAGTGAACTCCTTGTCTTTAAAGCTAAAGAGAGAAACTATAAAGTTCCAGTAGTAAAACTAAATGGAGTTCCACTGAACCAGGTGCAGAAATTTAAATATCTGGGACACTGGATCACCGACTCGCTCAAGGATGATTTGGACATGGAAAGGGAGCGGAGAGCCTTGTGTGTTAGGGCAAATATGATAGCCCGAAGATTTGCATGCTGTACCAGGCAGGTAAAAGTTACGCTTTTCAAAGCATTTTTGTACCTCTTTGTACACGTGCAGCCTTTGGACACATTACACCCAAGTAGCATACAGGGCTCTTCGCACTCAGTATAACAATGCCCTTAGAGTAATGTTGGGGATGCGCCGCCCTTGTAGTGCCTCAGGGATGCTGGCGGAGGCTGGAGTTGACAGTCTGTCAGCAATTATAAGAAAGCGCACAGCATCCTTGATTCACCGGGTGCGGGGTAGCGCCAACATTCTAGTAAAGACTGTTGCGGCTAGATTGGACGTGGACAGTGCTATTATGCAGCACTGGACTCGCGTTCACCTAGTCAAAGACACTAGACCGTCAATAAATTTCGATGTGGATAATATTATACTAACATAGTTATAAGTTTTCTTTGTTACTAACACTATATGGGTTCTTAAGCCTGAAATAAAAGATTTTTATTTTATTTTATTTTTATTTTTATAAATGTACATATGGCGTATTTGTGCAATAAATGTTTTCTTTCTTTCTTTCTAAAGCTTTTTGAATATGACCTCTTTCGACCAAGTGGATTTTCATCTGTCTGTCTGTCCGTCTATCACCAGGCTGTATCACCGCCGTGATACAGCCTGGAATACTAAAAAACAGAATAAAAAATAATTAAGTAGGGATCCCGTACAACAGACATAATTTTTTTGCCGCTTTTAATTGATAACGGTACGGAACCATTTTCTTGTTCCTTTTTGGTCGGTTTTTTTAAATTTTTTGCAGCATCTATTAAATTCTTTTTATGAATAAATTGTTTCTGAACACATTCAATTGTATTACAGTGAACTTTATACGTTGGATTGCATACGGAGCTCCCATGCCCAAAATGCTTCGTATAATAGAATTATAGGTAGGGAAGATAACATGGGCATTTCTAAACGAAATCAGTTGCCTCGATAAGAAGCCCGACAGACGACTAACCCTTAGCACAATTTCACCCACATGTTGGCGAAAAGCGTGTTGACTATTAAAAATTACACAGATTTAGTTGTTAATTGTATCACAAAGACACATTTTGAGGGAGTTCGACATTTTCACAGAGTTTCAGATCGTCAGCGTACTTTAGAAATTTCACTTTCAATAACTGTGTTTAGATAATTTATAAAAATAAGGAATAGCAGAGGTCCCATGTGGGATCCTTGTGATTACACGTGATGGTATTGTATTTATTTGGGATTTTAAAACCCTGATTAATATAAAAGACTGATTTCATACTTCTGAACTGATTAATGTAAAAGACATATAAAAGACTGATTTCGTACTTCTGAATTACACCAGCCTATCAATATCCTTGTTATGTCTATGTCTATCCTTGAGCTATGAATATCCTTGTTCAGTTACTACACAATTAAGTCTCCGTGAAAAACATTTTATTTATGCGTTTATTATTTAACAGTAAGCGATAGTTCAACACAATGCTCTCCATGGTCAATCTAAATAGGGAATATTTTTAATTTGATGATATTTAATACATTTCTTGATCATTCCATTGTTTGTCTCAGGAATTTTCAACAATTATCAACTGAATGTCCATATATTATTAATAATATAATTCCATGGCTGTTCAATATTTCAATACTATTTTAAGTTTTGGTTGTAACAATCTAATCAAACTTTAACAAAAAGGATATAACATAAAGATAGAAAATAGCGTTAATAAAGTGTTAAAGATAGGATTATTCCCAACTGGGATCTCATAATCGTAGTGCGGGAACGATTAAGTGTCGGCGTATCTGTCCCTTATGTTTTATGAGGCATGCGGACCTCGTATCTGCCGCAAACTGTCCGATATTCGAACGCTCGTATGAAAGGAAGTTTGTTCCCTTTTCACGTCCCAATGCCTTATTTAAACCAAAAGGAAGTAAGGTAATTTATACACTGACTTATTCAATTTCGAAATAAAACGTGCACCGCTGGTAAATGCATGTAAAATATATTATATCTTATCCTTTAAACACATACAAGAATTGCTCCTTGTATGTGTATATATATATATAAATATATATAAATATATATATATATATATATATATATATAATCGGAATCTCGGAAACGGCTCCAGCGATTTTCATGAAATTTAGTATGTGCGTAGATTCGAGGGCGAAAAATCGATCTAGCTAGGTTTCATTTTTATCCCTGTTTTCAGGGAATGAAAAATATTATTCGAATACGACGGTAAATTTCGCCGCAAAAAAAATGTTATAATAGCTCGGTCGGTAATCGGGCGGCCCCGAAACACAAGGCCATGGTTCGTGTCACGATCATTTACACATTTATTTTTT